CTCAGGGCCAGATCTAGCCTATCTGATCTGGGGGTGCAGTAAAAAATTAGGGGGCATAATGTCAATAGTATTCCCTGTTCACTCGGCATGCTTCTGTAACACTGAACCCAGACAACCCAGAAGTAACGTCTGAAAGGTAGTGCAGCGGTGGTTCAGGAGTGAACAGGGAATGCTAGTGTGTATCAGACTGTCAATAGATCAAGATGATTAAACAGAACCTGTGCACCCTGGTGTTCCTATCAGAGACCCTCCTTACATTGGAAATCTGTGGAAATCCACAGAGTTCCCCCTTACATCAGGGTTTTTATAAGGGTTCTCTCATATCATTTGTCCCCATCATAGTGTCCCTTTACATAAACTGTCCTCATCAGAGTTCCCCCTACATCTATTACCCCTCCTCAGAGTGCCCCCTTACATTAACTGTCCCCATTAGAGTGCCTCCTTACATCAAATGTCCCCATCAGAGTGCCCTCTTACATCTTTTTCAATTATCAGAGTGCCCACTCACATCAAATGCTCCTCTCAGAGTCTTCTCTTTGTCAACTGTCCCCATAAAGTCTCATGGATTAATGGAAGCACTCTAAGAGATTTGGAGGTGCACAACTAAAATCTGGAGTGGGCACAGCCCACCCCAACACCCACCTAGATCTGAGCCTGGTGATTCTCCACTGCCACAGGAATTGACCATACATACTTACACTGGTCCAATGTAGCTATGCAAAAAAAGCCATACCTAAACTTCAACTTTAAAGGGTCAGTAGATGTCTGCTTTAACCCAGCTGCAGGATCAGCATTATAAGTAACATCAGACAACAATCATTAGCTGAACATGCCACAAATATTGAACTTGCAGTAAAGTGAAAACATTTAACTGGTAGCGGCTTATGTATCAGATGTAGTGTCAGCTTATCTTCAGTCATTTGTTCTGCAGATTTTTTTTTTTTTTTTACGTGGGTGCTGTACAAGGTAACAAAAGACACAAAGATGGTTTAATGGACACCCCAACAGCTGTACATGTGTACATCTGTGATAAGATTACCGAGGAGCTGCTATGCTGTAGCACATGGCTAAGTTTTATGGGAACCATTACATTGATTTGTATAGGTTACAGTTAAAGGATAAAGGGCAACATTGTGATATAATAAAAATCAACTGTTCTGTTGCTCCTCATATCTGATCGAGCCATTCTTAGCAGATAGTAGGCCCAAAACAACTTCTTCTTTTATGTTTCTTTTATATGGGCTCACCACCAATACACTGTGTTTTTTACCCATTTTCCAATGCTTTTTGCAGTGTGTTTTTGCACACGCATTTTTGCCATGTTTTTGCTGCATTTTGCATTTTCTTAACTTTTTTTTTGTCTAAGGGGAATTGTTTTTGTTGTTGGGCAGAATATAAATGCAAAATTAACTCTATTGCAGCAAAAATGCTGCTTTTTGCTTTAAAAAAAGTCCCTGACCCTTTCCAAAAATGTAGCAGCACATAAAGCATAGATGTGAACATGTCCAATAGGAAACCATGTTAAATGGACTGTTTTGTGTTTCTGCAAAAAGCACTAAAAAACGCATTGGTGTGAACCAGGCCTTACCTGGAAACCGCTTGTTCCCGCTGGAGGTTGGGTGCTTCAAGCATACATGGGATGCTGGGAATGCATTCTTTGATATAGCTTTTTCTGTGTTTGAAGATCTATGTAGACCACTTTGAAGAAATCAGACAGAAAATTTGAACTGGCTGAAGTTGCAGCTCAGCAGGAGACAGAAAATAAAAGATGAGAAGTCATATCTGCAATTTTGCTTGATATGAATGCCTAGATCAAAACGTAAACTTTATCTGAACCCGAACCCGTAAGAATAAAGACATTATTTTTCAGTCTGTACTGATGTTCATTAACATGTAGCCACCAATATCAATGGCATTTAATATCAAAAACATCTCTACTCATAGTGAACCAATTGGCTTCACTATCCTACAGTGGCAGGCTTTGCTGCTGTTGGTGTGTCCATATCTTATGCAGGCCATAGACGGGACGTTTATCGGCCGAATTGTCAGCCGAACGAATAATCGGCCAATATTCACACTGTTAGTGGGGCAATGTCGTCGGCCGATTTTCGTGGTTCTTCTCGTTTCTTTTTATCGGTCATGCTGGAAAATCTACGAAAAACAGATGTTTTTCATTGGCATTGGTGGAAGCAACAACCGATTTTTCGTTTATCGGCCGACAAACGTCCCATCTATGGCCAGCAAAAGTCATGATTTATAGAACATAATGGGGTTGATTTACTAAAACTGGAGAGTGCAAAATCTGATGCAGCTGTGCCAATTAGCTTCCAACTTCAGCTTGTTTAACCACTTGCCCTCCTGAGGATTTACCCCCCTTAATGACCAGGCCTCTTTTTGCTACTCGGCGCTGCACTAATTCAACTGATAATTGCACAGTCATGCAATGCTGCACCCCAAACGAAATTTACGTCCTTTTTTTCACACAAATAGAGCTTTCTTTCGGTGGTATTTGATCACCTGTGCACTTTTTATTTGTCATGCTATAAACAAAAAAAGACCAAAAATTTTGAAGAAAAATTATATTTTTTACTTTCAGCTATAAAAAATATATAGTAAACTCAAAGTTAGTTATAAATTTAGGTCAAAATGTATTCTGCTCCATGTTTTTGGTAAAAAAAAATTCCAATAAGTGTATATTGATTGCTTTGTGTGAAAGTTATATGGATTAATGGATGCACTCTAAGAGATTTGGAGGTGCACAACTAAAATCTGGAGTGGGCACAGCCCACCCCAACACCCACCTAGATCTTTGCCTGGTGATTCTCCACTGCCACAGGAATTGACCATACATACTTACACTGGTCCAATGTAGCTATGCAAAAAAAGCCATACGTAAACTTCAACTTTAAAGGGTCCGTAGATGTCTGCTTTAACCCTGCTGCAGGATCAGCATTATAAGTAACATCAGACAACAATCATTAGCTGAACATGCCACAAATATTGAACTTGCAGTAAAGTGAAAACATTTAACTGGTAGCGGCTTATGTATCAGATGTAGTGTCAGCTTATCTTCAGTCACTCTGTGCTTATTATCCCTAGGAGATCAAAGGAGCCCACTAACCCCTGGTTCACATATATGCAGCTGTGCTGGCCGCATTTTGCGTGGGGCACGAGAGCTCATTCCTTTAAATGGATTCCCGTGCCCCGTGACACACAGGAAGAAGTCCCTGCACTTCTTCTGAAAACGCAGCCCGCACGGGAACCTCGGTTCCCAGTACGGTTGCATTTTCCAGTGCTGGCGGTGTGTCATTAGAACTAATGGCACCCGCCACGGGTCCACATTCCTCTGTGCGGGTGGTGCGGCTGCACGGATTTTCATGTGGATCCGCAACCGCACCTCCCGCTCATATGTGAACCTAGCCTTACTGAGTGTAATATAGGAATCGGTGACACCCTCAATAAACATATGCTAAACCAACACAAAAAAACCCAAAGCAACATGTTTCGCTCCTAGGAAAGAGCTTTGTCAGGGGTGCTAAAAACTATTTTTAAAAAAGTGTTGTAGTGAGTCACCGTATGACGTGCATGTGCATAAAGCCTTCTTTCACTAAAATTAGGGCGCAGTTGTGAAGCCCCTGTATATGTCTGTAATATTGTTATCTCAGCCCAGTGGGCATTATGTGTACATATATACCTATCTTGACCATAGAATAAAAAGCCCTTTATCCCAGATACAGCAATCTTAGGATGTTGAGAGTCTTTTGGGATCTTCTGAGTACATATACAGTCAGTCACATTTTAACAAGAATAATATAAGTTATGTTTTAGCTTAGTAGCACTAATGCGTGGGAGTTCACATCCCTGTTCTTTGTAGTTATGTAATACTGTCACATACTGTATAGGCAGAGAAGTATACATTTATTGTATATATCAGGCTTTGTAAAATGATTAACTGACATCATATACAGATTGAAGCTTGTCCTTCTGACCTGCAAATAAATAAAACAAAATTAACAACAATGCTACTTTGTGTTTCCCCATTTTATCTCTGAAGGTGTCTACATGCAGTATCTCTAGAGTGATGACAGAAGGAGATGGAGCATCCACCCGCTCACCAATCCCATCAATTACATAGCTCCTCGAAATTTACACAGTTCTTGCACAGGCTCTTGACTGTTTGCAGGGATGTGCAGAGTTACCTCCTGACAGCCTGTCAGCGCAGTGAGCAGCAATGTGAGGACTGGACAGTGACAGTCCCAATGCAGATCAGCGCCACCGCTACACTGAACTGATATGCAAAGTCCCACAGCAGATGGCCCACAACCTGTCTCTGTAGGAGAATGACAGTCTGCCCGTGTTCAACTCTGAATCCCATGCCGAGAGACAGAGAGACAGTCCCTTGCTGTATCCCAGTATCCCCCTCTTTTGACAGCTCTCTGGTAGTTGTAGTTCAATCAGAACTCAGGAATACAGGATATATTGGCTATAGGACTACAGGTCCCAAGATTATCTGCTGTCAGAAGAACTGGATCCACTCTGCTAACAGGACGTGATGTAGCAGCCCCAGTACTGGGCACTAGGGGAAAAGGTGTAACCATAGTCTCATCTGTAAATGTCCCTGAAAGGCATATGATATAGTCGGCACCTGGCTACACATAATATGTTCTTTCCTTTGTTATATCTCAAAAACGATATAAAACTGTTGTAAAACAAAATTAAAAAATCACATATACAGTATTATACAGTCTGTTAGTAGCATTAACACAGCAGTCTTTGTTTTTCTAGGTCCCCCCATAAGATTTTTATTACCTACTGAACCAGCCAGAAAGCCTGATGTTTTTCAATTCGCTTTAAAGGAGGAATTAACCACCTTCCGCCCGCCATATAGTACAATGACGGGCGCAAGGTGGTTCTCTCGTTCTGATAGGACATCATATGATGTCCTTCCATTCTAACCGTGCATGTGCGGCTCAGGGAGCGCGCAGCGCAGCGATCACCGGTGCACTGTGTCCCTCGGACACAGCAGATCACGGAAAGAGCAGAAGATGTCGGCTCGGTCGTGTGATCAGCTGTGTCCAATTGTAAACACGGAAATGCCGGTTATCGGCATCTCTCTCCTCTTGAGCTGTTACGCTGACAGCTCGAGAGGAGAGCCGGTAATCGGCTTTCCGCAGAGTGGACATGTACACTGATTATCAGGGCACTGATGATCAGTGTGCCCTGATGATCAGTGTGGCCCAAGAAGTGCCACCTGTCAGTGTCCATCAGTGCCAGCAGTCAGTGCTCATTAGTGCCACGTGCCAGTGCCTATCAGTGCCACATCAATGCCACATATCAGTGCCCATCTGAGCTGCCTTTCAATGTCACTCATCAGTGCCAGTCAGTGCCACCTATCAATGCCAATCAGTGCCTCCTATCAGTGCCAGTCAGTGTCGCCTATCAGTGCGCATCAATGCCGCCTATCAGTGCCAATCAGTGCCGCCTAGCAGTGCCAGTCAGTGCGGCCTAACAGTGCCAGTCAGTGCCGCCTTTCAGTGCCAGTCGGTGCTGCCTATCAGTGCCATATATCAGTGTCATGTATCAGTGCTGCCTTTCAGTGCCCATCAGTGCAACCTACCAGTGCCTCCTCATCAGTACCCATCAGTGCCACCTATCAGTGTCCATCAGTGCAGCCTATCAGTGCCCATCACTGCAGCCTCATTACTGCACATCAGTGAAGGAGAAAAATCACTTATTTACAAAATTGTATAACAAAAACTAAGAAAAAAATTTTTTTTTTTTCCAAAATTTTCAGTGGTTTTTGGTTTGTTTAAGAAAAAATAAAAATCCCAGCGGTGATTATATACCACCAAAACAAAGCTCTATCTGTCTCAAAAAAATGATAAAAATTTCATATGAGTACAGTGTTGCATGACCGCGCAATTGTCATTCAAAGTGTGACAGCGCTGAAAGCTGAAAATTGGCCTGGGCAGGAAGGGGGTATAAGTGCCCTGTAGGCTAGTGGTTAAACACACCAATGTAAGGCCTTGTTTACACTTGTGATTGGGGTGTTGCAGTTCAGCAGCATTTTTACTGCCCTTCAACCCCTCCGCCTTTTGTTGCTGAGGCAGCGGCCAGGGGTGTACACATGCTTAATAGGGTTTAGTCCTGCTGTAACAGACTACGTTTTCTAGCAAAGGTGGCATTTAACATTGCTGGGGATTGCCTACAATTGTGTGCTTTTTTCTCATTTAAGTAAAACCTTTGTTCCAAAAGGAGCCAACTATTGCTGTAACTGCTTCATAAGTGTTAGTTACTTAGGTAAAGTCCATCTAAATCTACTAGTACATCTAACATTCTGCTGATTGACAATGCTGCCGTCCAAGGTTGTTTACGTAATGCCTTCTAATTACACTGGAAGAGTGAATGTGGCCACTCTATGACAGATAGATTGACTTCTGGTGTGCAGAGCTGACCACACACGGATCAAAATTTGACAGGTCCCTGCTGAAGTGGCTGAATTTCAGTCCTTATATGGTCAGCTTTACTGTTCCTCACTTCATCCAAAATCCCAAAGTTTTTTTTTGAGATGATAAATGCTCAGTTAGATAAGTATATAGAGCACATGCAACCCACAGGGTCCCTCGTAGCGTTAGCCAGAAGCACCATATATTTGCTGAGTTTGATAATGTAGAGCACGGGTGTCAAGCTAGCGGCCCTTCAACTGTTGCCAAACTACAAGTCCCATGAGGCATTGCAAGGCTGGCAGTTACAAGCATGACTCCCAAAGGCAGAGGCATGATGAGACTTGTAGTTCTGCAACGGCTGTAGGGCCACCAGTTTGACACCCCTGATGTAGAGGATTCAACATCATGGCAGGTAGACAGGTGTTTCAATGCTTGAACAACAGCAATGTTTTGCTCAAAACATGACTATTTATATGGATCATTGGCATTTTTTTAAGATGCTACTTTTGTGATGTTTGAATAAAAGGTCTATATTTCTATGAACTTTGTTTGCACGTTGGTACAGGACAACCTTTTGTTGAGATATTGGATTTTATTTAGTGGATGCTAACTGGCTGGGTACTTTTGACAAAACACTTTATTGTATTACTTGTATGCCCTATATACTTTATTATCCAATGCAGTATAACAGCATGTCTCCTGGCAGGATTCGGTAAAGCCATACTGGCCAATGCTCCACCCTCCTGCTATCCCCTGCCAACTATGAAGTATTTCCACCCTCACCAGCTGCCAAACACTTAAGGCTTATGGAAGGTCCAAGGACCACAGTCAATAATTGCTGGATACACATGAAGCATGGCTTTTGTACATAAAAACCTTCATTTTCAGATTTTTTTCCCTACGTGAAATATTGGAAATTTGACTGGTGGAGGATGTCTTTTGCCTTAAAAAAAGTTGCTAAAAAGTGTTGGCTTTCCATCTCGGAAAGCTGTGAGGTATCCCAGTAAAACCTAATGCCAAATTTGCTTATTATTCTCTATTACATTGTGTAACCCTTCTTTCCGGTTTTGCTCTGGCCTTCCTTGTGCACTGAGCAGGAAACATCCATCTGTCCATCGAGAGCCCGCCGGCATGTCATGACCTTGCCGTCTGTCTTCATGCAGTGGGGGGTCTGCAGACTTCTGCTTCCCACCTGCGAGAAGCCGAGCAGTGCCAGGCACAGTATCAGCGGGAAGTCCTGTGTGGCCAGGTGATGCGCAGGGAGCATAATTAGCTGCGACACCAAGCCCGAGAGGGAGTTTCACACATACAGGAAAAGACAGCCAAAGTCAGCCAGGAGCTCACTTGAACATCAGCTCATCTCTGTGATATTATGCATGTGAACATTGATTTATTGAAGGCCTGGCAGCTAAGTGTGGAAAGCACCAAAGTACGTGATAACATAAAGAATCAGAGAACATCAGTTTGCTTTGTTTAATTAGAACAAAATGTTTGATGGATTTTTCTGTTCCCAAAACTGGTTCATTGCCAACTGTATTTTAAAGGAAACCTTTGATAAAAGAAATATGAAGGTTGCCCCTGGTGGATTCTCATTCTGCAAATGCTAGGTGCCTGGCTGTCAGGTTAACCCTCTTACTTTGGAACATAAACACATATAGTGTCTTGAAAAAGTATTCATACCCCTTGAAATTTTCCACATTTTTTCATGTTACCATCAAAAACGTAAATGTAATTTATTGGGATTTTTTTTATATTCCAATGGTTTTTATTAATTTTTTAAACATTATAAAACAGAGGCAATAAAACTCGCCCACACAGGGGCTATCAATTGCACAGAAAAAAAAAATGCAAAAGAAAAGAAAACCAGTGCTCTAACGCCAACAGGGCAAAAGGTACGCCCAAAGGGGCTACGCCCACGCAGGGATCAATGGCATTTTATTGGGATTTTATGTGATAGACCAACACAAAGTGGCGCATAATTGTGAAGTTTGAAGGAAAATGATAAATGGTTTTCAAAATGTTATACAAATAAATATGTGAAAAGTGTGATGTGCATTTGTATTCAGCCCCCTCTGAGTCAGCACTTTGTAGAACCACCTTTCGCTGCAATTACAGCTGCAGTACTGAAAGCATTGAACAGGGTCAACATATTGATGGATTTACTTTAAAGTCTGACTCCAGGCAAAATTAAAAAAAAAAAAAAAGAATAGGGCTCCAGAAAGTCTCCCCCTCTTTTCTGATGCTGCCCCCCACAGTAGTTCCTTTCCACATCTAGATATACTCTAGGTGTCCAGTGTCATTCAACTCACAACACTTAGGAAATCCTGTGAGTGCAGGGCTTCCTGGGCTTGAAGGGGCATTAGCACATGGACCTGTAGTCAGGGGCATATTTACCACAAGGCAAATAAGGCATTTACCTAGAGTGGCATTTTTTCGGGGGGGCAGCGGCATTTTTCTGAGGGGCAGAGCCGCCCCCCAAAAGAAGAGATGGAAGAAAGGACTCATACAGCATGGGGACCAGGTGGGATCTGAGAGAGGCTGCGGGCTGCTTGATGGTGTATGCAGAGCCTGACTCTTGTTCCCGTGGATGTCTGGAGCTGTGAAGGTGAGTGTCTTCTCTTTTGTCAGGGTGGGGTGGGTTGCCAATGTATGGGGGGTGGTGGTAGTGGAAAGCTCTCTTGGGTGGAGGGGCTGGGATGGGGTGTTGTTGGTCAATGTTAGGCTCTTATTGTGGGGGAGGGGGGTGTTTGTCAGGGTCTCTCCATGGGGGGGGAGACGATTTTTGTGTTGCCTAGGACAGCATGAAACCTAAATAGGTAGTCATATACAATGATCCAGAGAAATTGGTGCTGATATCATCATGTCAGCACTGCTGCCTGCATCATTTAGAGCGCAATTAAATAGGTAGGAGGAGCAGCATCCTGTGCTTCATGTGACCAGCCTGAAGGCAATGTCCCCACTAAGTCAGACCTATAACTTTGCAATCAGTAAAACTTATGCTTCCTGCTGATTGCTGATCTCCAGCTCTGACTCATTAGGGGACTTGTTTAACCTCTGCAGAGAGACCACTGCTTCCACAAAGAGAACAAATGTCCTTTCCAAGAGCATGCCAGCAGGGTACAGTCTTTTCTACTCTGGCTGTGGCTGCTTTCTAAAGAAAATGAACCTTAAGACTTTGGACACCTTTTTTATGCTCCTAGAATGTACAGTTTATTTAATCTGAAAGTTCAATTGAGCATTAAAGTGACCCTGTCACCATCTTTTAAACAATTACATTAATAGCACAGAAAAATTAAGTGTTTTAAAGAGTAAGGTTGGCCATACATGGGTCGATTTTCGAACAATTTTTCATTCGAGAATTGGACCTAAGAATAATCAGCCGATTTTCACTGTTAGTGGGCAATGGCACCATCCGATTTTCGTGGTTCCTGCCCATTTTGTTTATCAGGCATGCTGGAAAATTTGCAAAAAATGACCAATTTTCGAAATCATTGGTGGCATCATCGGATTACAGAACGAACAATGTTTTTGATTTTCGATCGAAACATTGTTCGGTATTCAACACATGTATGGCTTGCTTAACTCCACTTTTTTGAGAAAAAAAAATATTCCCCTCTGGGTGGTCAATGTACATTGCAAGGATTTTAACAAACTTTGTTGCAGATTCCTGCCTTTTTTTATTCTGGAGAAATAGCAGTTTGTTTGTCTGTGTCCATGTGCAGAGTGAATCTTTATAGGAGTGGTTTCATAATTATCAATCAGCTGCTGCACCTGCAGGGCAAAAATGAGGAAATTTTCAGGGTCGACATCCCTTTAGATGTGATTTCCCTTTGTTAGTATCCCACCAAAAATGACTTTTTTTCTTACAGGGGATGCCAAAAATCTGACTTGTATCTTAGTGCAGACTTCTGGGAAAACCAGTAAGCCAATCTCTCAAGCAGTAAATTATATTTCTGGCGGGGGCGCAGGGGCGGACTGACAACTCATGGGGCCCCCAGGCAATAAGGGATCATGGGGCCACTGTGTCCTTGCCCAAACTCAAAAAAGCCTATGAAAAAGGTACCAGGGGCATCTCATGGGGCCCCCTACTGACCCCGGGCCCTCGGGCAGTGCCCGAGTTTCCAAATGGTCAGTCCGGCCCTGGGGGGGCATTCTGTATACCATCTGAGTACAGACCACCTCCAGGTAGACATATTGCATTGCATTTTACCAAAAATACAGTGCTGCAGATTGAAAAGGAAAGGTAATTGTAGTATTTTTTTTTAATTGCTCATTTTTTTTCCTAAGAAAGTTGAGTTGCCCTTTAAATGCTTACTTTCAGTGACTTCCCTTTTTATAAATTATTTTACTTATAATGCACCTTTTAACTTGGCAGGTTAGAAAATTTGGCTAAACAAGAGAGTCAAATCCTAGCCTAGCCTCCTCCGTCCTTGCATGTCATAGCCCTCTCCTCTTCTGGGAGTGTCTAATAGCTGGCTGTACTGGTCCAGCTCCTCTGCTCCTGCCCTTACTTTCTACATAATATTTTATGTAGCTGCTGGGAAAGGATCAAAGAAATTGGATATAGAAAATTATAAAGTGTCGTTTGAGAGTCTGTTGGATCTTCGCACATCACATCCAAAATGGTGGGGCCCAGCAGCAGTCTGAAGGCTTTTGGGTAGTAAAAAGGCTTTTACAGGTAAATAACATACATAAAATACAGCACATTAAATGCACATATAATCTGTTGTGTAGATTTTTGCTGACATTAATGGTCTAGTTACAGTGTCTCTATAAAATGATCTTTCTCACATATAAAACAAAAAAAAACGTAAAAAAAAGCTATAGCTCCCCTTCAAATAAGGCGACTGCAGTAAAATGAATTTTGATTGGCTGCTTTGGGCTGATTCACACATTCTCATTGTTCTTCACTCTGGTTAATGCAATAGGCCTAAAAATAGTGTGTTAACCATGGGATGAGGATGGCCCATTTGCTGTCAGGCCTTTATGAACAGCACCAGGAGAGAGCACCTTCCTGTCTGCAACTGCTGATCTGCCTTGTCGTGCTGCGCTCTACGTGTACACTTGACCCCTCCCCGCTTCTTCTCTCTGAAATATGCAGATGTGTGTCACGAAACGTCAGCTCCCCGCTGTTTTTAATTTGAAGAGGTGGTTGATCAGGTCAGGTGCACACTTGGAAAATGCCGGAGATTCTGCTGAGGTTTTCTAAAAACAAAATTCCACCACCCCCTTCAATTCCTGCGGCGCTCAGGGCACATCTGTTGTGCTGCTTTTTTTTTTAACAGTGTTCCGGAGAAATGATATAGACAGCTGAATGTTAATTGATTGTATTGCAATATAGGATGATGAGGAAAAGACAAGTGGCAGGTATTGCACAAAACTGATTTGAATAGGATCAGAAATAAAACGTGATGCTCATGAAAGGGCAATACCACCAACATTACTGAGGTTTCTACTATAATGTAACCCTCATGTACAAAGGAAAAGGGGGCATTTACCTTCCCCCTCCCCTGCAGCATGCACTCATCTTTTCCTCGCTCACCGGCCACAAAGTGAAATACATTTGGGTATCTGTAAGCATGTGACTCACTTATCCACTTCAGTGTCTTATGACTGGCCCACCACTGTCATATGGGGTTGGAGAAGCAGGGCCAGCACTACCATTAGGTGAACTGGCCAGTCGCCTAGGGCACACTGCCTCCTTGGACACAGCCGCGGGTTTCCCTTCTCTTCTCCATGGCCAGATGTAGGGGTGTGCTAGGGGTGGGCTACGCCAAACCCAGATTTCAGTTGTGCCCTCATGGGCCAGGAGCACAGTCTGGAGCAGTGAAGCCTACCGTACACAATGAAAGGGGGGGTAACAATCATTTGTGCTGAGATGAGAGAATAGTGCAGGAGGGGGGATGGGGGCTATTTGTGCTAGGAGACGGGAGGGGAGTTGTGCTAGGGGCGAGGACTGGGCTGGGGATTTGTGCTAGGAGGGGGGGATTGGGGGGTTGTGCTAGGAGGGGGGAATTAGGGGGAAATTTGTGCTAGGAGGGGGGATTGGGAGGGGTTGTGCTAGGAGGGGGGGTTGAGAGAGGTTATGCTAGGAGAAGGAAATTTGTGCTAGTAGGGGGCAATTTTGGTGGAGAGGAAGGATTTGTGCTGAGAAGGGTAATTTGGAGGGGGTTGTGCTAGGAGGAGGGATTTAGGAGGATTTGTGCTAGGAGGCAGGATTAGGGGGGATTTATGCTAGGAGAATGGGTTTGGGGGGGGAGAAGAGGATGTCTGCTAGGAGGGGTGAAGTAAAAATACAGGTGAAGGTTTTTTTTGGGGGGGGGGAGTGCAGTGCAAGTAGGGTCTTGCCTAGGGTGCAAAATAGTCTAGCACCAGCCCTGCGGAGAAGGAGTTAATGTCTCTGTGTAAGCTCTGACAAGTCAGTTTGGAGCTTATACAGGGTTTTCTTTCCTGGGTCACAGCAGCCTGATGGTGCATTAGTGAGAAAAGGTAAGTATGTGCTGCTGGAGATGAGGGGAGCTAAGTGACTCAAAAAGGACTGGACCACTTCCACGTAAATTTGTACTTTGCCATCCATCAGGGTCACTTACCTGACCACCTTAACTCTGCCTAAATAGGCACATTTCTTCCATTTACCCAGTGCTTGTGGGTAAGAGGAGCCTGTGACTCTCTCCGTTTTTTACCATAATGCTGAATTGGATGCCTGAGCTTGGCTGAAAAGAAACAATTAAGAGAACCTGGTTGTTCGCTTTGCATAGACAAAGCATAGGTTTTAAATGAAGAACATGGAAAGGTCCTTTGGATTTGGTACAACAGAAATTGCCTGGCTAAAATCTGGAACTATGGTAGCCATAGAGTTGATGAAGTGAATAATTTTTCATAAAGCGTCACCTTTTATCAATAAAAAGTCGTTCTTGAGTTCCATTGCTTTGGGTTAGAGAATTCTTTACTCTACTGCAGGCAGGAGGAAGCATTTCCTCAGTCTCCTCTTCCCCAATGATCATTCTGCAACATAGTAAGTTTGAAGCCCATCACAAGGTGAGAAGTTGCAGCAGGACATGATCTGTGTCAAACAAAAGTAGAAATAAAGGCAAAACTTTTTTTTTTATTTTTGGATAGAACATATGAGGGTTATAACTCCTGTCAGATTTTTTTTCCATTTCTGTCCCATTGGGGAGATTTATCTTCACTTTCTGTTCCATAGCCAAAGTGAGAGAAAATCTCTGCAAATTAAGGGAATTCCTTAGGGACCCCAAGTCACCAGAACTTGTGTCCCATTGGAAGATTTACCCTTTATTTCATTTCTGGGGACAACCCATAATTTGGCATTTTCTTTTACTTTAACTTTCAATGATAATGGTAAACAGGACAAATAGAGAGGGTGGATCTCCCTCCTGGGGGGCACAGAGAGCAATATAAACTGACCAGTGTGTTCTAATCCCTCTCCATCTATCTAAAACTAAAAAAAAAGGTTTGCCTTTAGTTATACTTGAAAGGATAAGTTCACCTTTCATAACATGTTACACCCATATTCAGGGTGTAACATGTAACATGTTATGATCAGACCAGCCCCCGTACCCTCACTCCCTCGCTTTGACAGCTAGCAGGGGATCTTCTCCCCCCTTGCTAGCTGTCAAATTGTTCAAAAAGCTTGCCCGCATCACTCATTTACTGTGTTCTGTGAATGAGAAACTACAAGTCCTGACAGTCTTTGCAGCTGTCAGCTTGTAGTTCTCAATGAACTACCCCGGTGCTGTGGAGCGCCATGGTAGTTCATTGAATCTTCCTGTCAGTATATCTGCTTGCCTGTACACCTCATACGGGAAGCAGATGTACTGACAGAGCTGCAGGAGACCTGCATGGCACTAGCAATCTGCTGATCATTGGTGCAATGGTTTACAGGCTCCTGCAACAAAAAATAATAAATGCACATTATTTTTTTTTACCTGCAAAATATGTGCATTAATTATTATTTGTATAAAGGTGAACTGTATCGTCCTTCAAAGTGTTACTAAACCCAGGACCATTCACTATATCTGGTCTCCAACAGTGCACAGAACATGGAAATGCAATTATTTTAGTAAATATAAACTTCTAAATACCTTTTCTCATCAGCAATTAGAGCAGTCATGTGACTTCTATCAGTGTTCAGCAGAGCACTGGTTAAAGCTTGTAGGAGGAGTTTTCTCTAGGAGGATGCAGAACCCCTGACCTCACAGAGTTGATTGGCCCTGTGCTGATCACATGCCCTCACCTAAGAAAAAACAAAACGCTCTTTAGCAATACACACCAAACTGAGCATGTGCAGTGTCTCCACACGATATGCCTTATCAGGAGATAAGAGGGGAACACTGGAAGAAGGGGAGGATCAGAGAAAGTCAGGATCAAAACGGCATGTTTACACAATGCAGAGGATTAGCCTCTTAGGTTCCACAGTGAGTATAACATACATGCTTTACTGCAGATACAGACTAATTTTAGTAACAGATATTTTTTAAAAAGGGGTCAATGAGGCAATAGAGAATTTGTCAGTTAATGTAGCAAACTACACCTACACCTTTTCTGCTTACTGTCTAGCACAGAAAAGGTCAGAATAGTATATGAAAGTATGAGTGCGCCACAGGTTTGTGTCCGGCTCAGCAAAAGCTTACTTACCTTGATAACAGGTCTAAAGATATAGGGTAGCACAGTGGCTTAATGGTGAGTACTTCCACCACCTGGCAGTACCAGGATCACTGGTTCAAATCCCAACCACAGCACCATGTTTGCATGTTCTTCCCATGCCTGTGTAGGTTTCCTCTGGGCACTCCAGTTTCCTCCCACACGCCAAAGACACTCTGGTAAGCCAACTGGCTCCTGCCTAAATTGTCCCTAGTATGTGTATGTATGAATGTGAGTTAGGGACCTTAGATTGTACACCCCTTGAGGGTTAGGGACTGATGTGAATGTACAATATGTATGCATAAATTGTCAGCACAGTACCTGTAATAACAAATAGGTATACTGGATAGTGAAAGATACAAACTGAAGATTAAGAAGCATATAGGTTGCCAGGCTGACAGCCATCTTAGCACAGGAAGGGAGAAGCAAAGTCTTGATTGAATTTCCAAGGGTTGTGTTAGAAAAAACGATCCCAATGCATTTTGCATTTTACTGCTAGTGTTCAGCCACAGGTTGACATTGAGAAGCACAAAACCCCTCCACAAAGGGTAAATAAATGTGTTTGATGGGTTATTGTGTACCAATTGTTATTCTAAGTGTGTTTTTTTGCCAAAAAGGCTGAGCTACACATTTAAAATGTTCTCATTATTGTTTCCACAGATTTACGAAGAATGACAGCTGGCTTCATGGGCATGGCGGTAGCCATCATTCTGTTTGGATGGATCATTGGCGTGCTGGGGTGCTGCTGGGACAGAGGGCTCATGCAGTATGTTGCAGGTCTACTCTTCCTCATGGGAGGTAAGGCACAATGGCTCTGATTCAAAACAAAAAGCTGCACTATACACAATGTAAAAGAGCTATTCAAGTTTGTCGATCCAAAATTAATTTTTTTAGCATGTTTAGAAACATGTCTCACTGTACACAGTTTTTTTACACAAATACTTTTTAATGAATCTTTTTCAGTTTCTTACCCAAGGATCCTGCCAGTAACAGCATTTCCCACTGCAAGCAGCCCAAGAATCTAAGGCTAGGTTCACATATGTGTGGGTGGTGCCACTGCGGATCCACACAAAAATCCGTGCAGCCACACCACCCACACAGAAGAATGCGGAGCCGCGGGCGGTGCCATTAATTCTAATGGCACGTCATCCGCACTGGAAATCGCAACTGCACTGGGAACCGAGGTTCCCATGCGGGCTGCAGTTTCCAAAGAAGTGCAGGGACTTCTTCCCTGTGTGTCCCGGGGCACAGGAGTCCATTCAAATGAATGGGCTCTTGTGCCCACGCAAAACGCGGCCCGCACGGCCGCATATATGTGAACCAGGGGTAATAATAGGAGCACACATGGCAGGCTGTCAGAGCCGCTACTAATTATAAGGCAGTGGCAGAGCATGCATCAAGGTTACATACAGCTATACATAATAAAATCTGGTATTATGTCCTTTACATCAGGGGTCTCCAAACCTTTTAGTATGAAGTGCCAACACTTGCCGCATATAATCAGTGGTGGTGGGAGGATAGGGAAGACTCTCTCCATTCCCCTGCCCATGACAACCGATAGTCCCAGTTTGCGAATGCGCCCTACAGCCACCGGTCGCCTGGCAACCATGACACCAGGAGTGGAGGAGGCATGGAGAAACCAAGGCCTTCCTGCAGATGAAAGCCGGCAAGGTGCTGTGGCCGCATATAGGGAAAGCATTGGGGATGGTGTACGCCCACCTCTCTTCTTGCCCACTTCTTTTCCCACCAGTGAAGGGGTCGGATCTGATTCTCCAGGGCCAGATACATACAGTAGTTTACATAGTTACATAGTTAGTCTGGCTGAAAAAAGACAAAAGTGCATCCAGTTCAACCATAAAAAAAAAAAAAAAAAAGGTTATAATCCTATACCCACAGTTGATCCAGCGGACGGCAAAAAAAAAACCCAGCAAAGCATGATCCAATTTTCTCCTGCAGGAAAAAAAATTCCTTCCTGATCCCCCAAGAGGCAATCGGATATTCCCTGGATCAACTTTACCTATAAATGTTAGTATCCAGTTATATTCTGTGTATCTAAGAAACAATCCAGACCTTTTTTAAAGCAATCCACTGAGCTGGCCAAACCAACTCTTGCAATCCACTGAGCTGGCCAGAACCAACTGCACTCTTGAGGCAGTCTATTCCACATTTTCACAGCTCTTACTGTGAAGAACCCTGGCTCTTTCCATGTTTGGAGTTATTACATTTCTTTTACTCCTTTTTATAGTAATTATGCACTTTTTTTTTCCTCTGTAACTGCAGTGTTTTGCTAATTAGCAGGCTTATAGCCAGGTTAGTAAATGGCTTTGTGTGAGTTCTATTCATCGTGCACCTTTATAACTGTGTGTTACTAAGCATTACTTAGAGCCCAGGGGCATATTTACCACAAGGCAAACAAGGCATTTGCCTAGGGGTGGGCATTTTTCAGGGGGACAGCACTGGCCCCCAGAAGAATGGGCACATGCGCCACAGAGACCAGGTGGGATCTGAGAGAGGCTGCAGGCTGCTTGATGGTGTATGCAGAGCCTGACTCTTGTTCCTGGGGATGTCTGGATCTGTGAAGGTGAGTGTCTTTCTCTCTCCCCGGGAAGGGGGGGGGAGGGGAGGTGGTTGTATGTTAGTGGAAGGCTCTCTCGGGTGGGGGGTAATGATGTTTGTTGGTCAATGTCAGGCTATCTCCACGGGGTGGGGGTGTTTGGGGGTAGGATTGGTGGTGTTGGTCGATTCCAGGCTCTCTCCCCTGGAGAGGGGGCGGGGCTCCGATTTTTTTTGCCTAGGGCAGCACAAAAGCAAAATACAGCACTGACAGAGAGCCAGTTATAAAGGAAGTTTGTTTAATAACTGGCTTTGCAAGTAATGTTTTATAATTGACTTTGTAACTACTACTTTAGAGGTTTTCTAAAGTAGTAGCATCCAAACCCTGTTCTAAGGCTACATTCGCACGAGTGATTAGGCACAATGCAAATGACAGGGGCAGGAGTCTGCTACTTCCTACTGCTGTTTTGGCCCCCATGAGTGGCTAGCTGCGTTGCCTTTTTTGTGTTCAGAAGGTGCAGTCCCATCACTAACCGCCCCACAACCAAACACTCCCCGGCTGCTCATTCTAAAATGCCCGGGCCTATTTTCTGTCCCAGTCCGGGCCTGGGTAAGACCGGGACCTTTACGATGCAGGAGTAAAAATTTGATTACTCAGTTACTGGAAGACTTCATTGGAAGGCGTAATCAAATTGTTTAAAGGTAAGGAATCACCTTTCACATTATGTACAAATATTTCTGCCCGGAGTTCAGCTTTAAAGTGATTCTAAAGGCAATATTAGTATTTTTAAAAAATAACAAATATGTCATACTTACCTGCTCGGTGCAATAGTTTTGCACAGAGCAGCCCTGATCCTCCTCTGCTTGGGTCCTCTGAACCCCCCTCCCCCAACCAAGTGCCCCTTACCAAGCTGCTTGTTATGGGGACACTCATGTGGACTTGCTCCTGACTTGGCTTTGTGTGTCCATTGACACACAGAGTAAAGCTCATCCCGCCCCCCCAACTCTCTCCTCACTGGCTATGATTGACAGCAGCAGGAGCAAAAGGTTCCAGTCAGGAAAGATAGAGCATAGAATGCATTATGGTAAAAAAAAATCTGCCTTTAGAACTACTTTAAATGAATGAACACTTTTTACTTCAAGATTTCCTTGTAATCAGCATATGATTTAGAATAGTAAAACAAAGCAAAGAAATTACAAATAAACTTGAGCCCATCAGAATCCCCCTTACAACAGATTCTCCATCAAAACCCCCCTTACATCAGAGACTCCATCAAAGTCCTCCTTTAATCAGAAACCTTTTACATCTGGTCCCCATCAGAGTGCCCCCCTTACATCCATGTACCTATCAGAGATCCCCTCCAACATCAGAGGGCCACGTGAAATCTTGCAGAAAGCTGGATTTTACCCACTGGCTGCAATACGCAGACCCCTGCTTAAGATCTTTAGACCAAAATCTCCATGAGGGAGGGCATGCTTGACCAGAAAAAAAATCTAATGGATTATCTAGGCAGATCTTCACATTTTGTAGCAGTTGGTAAAGTTAAAAGAGATTGTAAAGAAGATTGTTCAGAGATTGTTCAGTTAGATTGTAACTTGTATGACCAACATTACCACAGAGCACTGGGTTCATACCAAGGACATTATCTGCATTGGGTTTGTATATATTCTTTGTGTTTGTATAAGTTTCCTCATACATTTCAAATTTACTAGCAGATTAATTGGCTTCCTCCTAAAACTGACCCTAATGTGTATTTGCTACTTTTTATATCTCTTGGAGGTGACTGAGCCAGGATTCCTGAATAAGTCACCTCCATTATAGAATCTTCCATTGTAGAACCGGTCACAGTCAAAATATCATTTTATTGCTGCATCCTCTGAAATGGTCATGACAAAGGTGTGGAGTTGGGAACTCAGGGATTGAAATCTCACAACTGGAATTATTGGAAGATTCTCCAGAATACATTGTGTTGTTGGCCTGACTGTTTAATGACTATT